CACACCCGCACCCACACCCACATCCACACCCACACCCACCCACACCCTATCATCTGTAATTATCTCAGCTCAATTTTCTTTTTTTTTTTGAATTCATAATCGAAAATATTTTTTCAATGAACACTATTTATTTTACAATAATAATTATAATAGAAAAAATTCATTTTCACGAGAAACTGTCCTGAGAATGAAAGAAAACGTTTCATTTCTCTCTAACATATTTCGATTTCTGCTTGGATATGAAGAAATCGATCAAGGATTTCAAATTGAAGAATAACGTTCAAATGATGTGTTCAAATAAAGTTATGAGATTTGTATAAAATATGTTTCTTTTTGACTTTATATCAAAAACTAACAAATTATCTTGAAATATTTTCAGTATTTCAGTAAAATATATCTTAATCTTTATTCCAATTGTTGTTTTCTATGACTGATTCACAAATTGATCTATAAAGAGAATAGAAGAAAGTAAAGGATTTCTTCTTGTGACATATCTCACAATAAAAAATTCGATTTAAAGTGAGTTTCATCGAAATTCTGAACGATCCGCCGTCTCTAAGATCAATATATCTTAAGAAGAATATCTTCAATATCTAGTGAAAGAATTTCAAATATAAAAAACTGAGAAAATATCTTGACAAACTTAGTTATTGAGTCATAAAAAATGACGTTGTGTATTGATACGAAAATGAATAAGACTGAAAAGAATTGCATAAAGTCTAACATAGAATTTTCGAGAAAAAAAACTATATTTGATTGATTTGTCATATGATAAAAACAAACTCAGAATATTAAAATTCTCAATCCAAAGATTAATATTATATTCAATACGGAAGAGAATATTTAACACAACACATTGACACTTTAATTCCTCCTCTTACTTTCTTACACAGACAGAAAACAATGCAAAGAAGAGTGACTGTGGATGTGGGTTTACAAAAAACAGAATTAAGCCACCCAACCACATCCACACACCATCATTATCAATTTAAACGTTTTTTGTTAGTTTGTATTCAATTACGCTGTTGCGACTACTTCTCTAATAGATACTGATTCTTTTATTACCAAATACTAACAGATGAATGAAAAAAAAGAAGCTTTCACGAAATTTGGTGCAAAAATTCAGTTTCGCACGATGTTAAGTATCGGATTTACAGAAATCAACTAATAAAAAAGTTATTATGTTTTCTAAGATAATCTAAGCCACAGTGTTTCTACTATGTTTAATAACATAAATATGCAAGATGTAAAATGATAAATGATTGATTAAGAATAGTTGAGATCGACGTTGCTTTTGATGGCTCGGGTTCAATAAACGTATTGATTAACTTGAAAGTTGGTGACTCGTATATATCATAATCATTGTCATTCTCCGGATTTCCAAAGTGTTGAAGAGCTGAAAATCGAATTTTATATAGTCCGTCAGGAAGACTAGTTGTTTGATATTCTACTGAACTTTGATTCTGCATACTAACAATAACGTCACCAGACCAAGAAACTGTATAAAACTGTGCATGTGATCCAGCTATGGCTGCATTTCTCACTAAATTTGTATAAATTGCCGGTGAGCTACTATTGTAATCGTATACATATCCATAACTACAAAGAGATAGTTAATAATATGCATTTCGAAAGTTGACTAATACAGGCAACATTCTGTTCCATTGACACTCTTCATTACTACAATGATCCTTCTCTTCATAGTTAAATCCAATTTTAAAATATCTTCTTCAAATTTTTTGATAGTTGCTAAGAGAAATTCTTAGTTTTAGTTGATGTAAACTTTCGATACTTCAAATATTCAACTAATTTATCTTTACGATAACTAATTTAATTAATGTCTTGCAAATGAACCTTATTGATACATTCAAAAAGACTTAACCAATCAATTATAGTTTATCTATAACAACACAAGGAATACATTATTTTTAAATATTTCATGAAGATTGTTCTCCTTATCCTAGTTTTTAAACTCGACCGCTACTTTATTTTAGTTTTGCAATAAAATATTCGCCTAATTTCTTCAAGTTCCGCTTTAAGTGTAATTTTACTTTCAAAACTTACGAATAAATCATTTAGTCACCTGATAAGGAAAAATTTTTTGTGTTATATTCTTAAATGAAAACAAGGAAAAAGACAGATTTCAAAATTAACAAACATGAAAAATTCGAAAAGTCAAAACCGTATTAAAATTAATAATTCTTTTAAAGTCTGTGATCTCGTTTATATTTAAAGACATATATAATTATGATTTTGAAAGCTTAGAATTTTTGTCAGCACTTTCAACTGAGTTATATCTGTTAAACAATAGAAATACTTTGCATCATAGAAATTCTGTTTAAAAAGAAACTTTATTCACCTAATAGAGAATATCCTCACTAACACATTCGTAATAGTTACAATTAAGATTTATTATTTTCTTAGTATTGAAAAGACTTGTCGATTCATCCACTAATAAAACCTCTATATTTATTTTGTAAGAGTATTAATTATGAAATCTTTTCTTTGTATTGAATCTTGATAAAACTTTTTCAAAAGACTATTTTCATGGAAAGTTCGTTAGAATGAATATTTTAATTCAATATATCGAGATTTAATTTAACAAGACGACGAGTCAACGTTCACTATAGTTAAGTGAAGATACAAAACATATTTTACATTCCCGAATGTTTCAAGAATAAATAAGATTTTAAAGAGAGAATCCACCAGACCATCGAGGACACTTGGATTCTATTAAGTAGAAAGTACAACAGGGGTTACAATAGTTTTTTAGACTGATGAAAATAAATATTCCTGTACTCGTATTTGCTATAGAAAAGTTAAATTGTTAACCATTATAGAGCTGATTTTATTCAGTTTTTAATTCTCTATCTTTTCACATATAACACAAAAAATGTAAATGATTTGCTGACATGGAAGTCAATAGATCTTTTATAAAACAGTTTTTTTTCATGAAAAGGCCAAAAGTCAGTATGGACCAACTTTTCATAGGAAGAGTATCAGAGTGTATAATTTTAGGGTTAGTAGTTTTGGACATTGAGGTGTTGAATGAATAAAAAAATTATCGAGTACCTCGTATTCTCAGTGGTCTCGTGGGTCCTCTCTTAAAGAATAAAATAGCAAATTTATCTGTGTATAATAGATACTAATGACTATGCATTTTGTTGGTAAAAATTCAGCTTCTTCCATTAATGTCTCGGGTTAGAAGAAGTCAATGTTTCTTTCGAATATGAGAGTTCTTATGAATATATTTTACATCAAATTGATGTACTGAAGAATATTCGAGCTGATAAGGAAACATAAACAAAAACGGGCGTTATACTTCATGTAAATTCCTTAACAACGAATAAACTGTATATGGAAATTTATATTTCCTTTAATTACATATGAAATATCCTTTTAGATATTTTTTCAAAAAAATTAACTGAGGTAAGATAAAGCATAATGTTCTATTGGAAAAATAATAAACTAGCTATTTAAGCATTTAAAAGCTTTTCGACTTGGCAACAATGAATATCGACTTGAAATCTTTTTAAAGATCAAAAAATAAAATTTCGTTTGGAGATACAATCATATAAGATCTTATTTTACTTTTTTCGAGAACTCTGCTGAATTTGGCGTTCTCCTGAAACTACTTCGATGAAAACACGACGCGACGCCCATGCTGTGACCAGTCTGATTCGTATGGGTTGTGATGTATTCAAACTCTCGTCATTCATGTTTGATATAACCGTACCATTTGAATTCAAAACACCAGTGATGATACCTGATCGATCATTTTGCACTAAAATTCGTGCATTCTTATAGTCTCCGACCATGCCGGCATCTACAAAGATATATATATATATATATATATATAACCGTTCATGAAAAGATGACTAGAAAGAGAACGAGAATTGTTCACTGGTAATACGTACATGGAATTTGTGCAATTTGTTCATTTACATCGTTTGTAAAACGTATAAAACCCGAGAAGATAGGAAGAAGTGCTGAATCAGCATTACGAGGTGGTTGAAATCGAAGAGTAACAGTACCTGTTTGTGTAGGAGCAAGTCGCATTGTACTTGGTTGGATATCGACAATCTTTTTATAACAAGAAAGATAGTATAGATTGATTATATAAAACAAATTAGATTCTTTTGGTGTACTCAAAAAGTTCATATACTCTAGAATCGGTCAGAGTCCGATCACGATGAAATTTTCTACACAGTTTAGTCTCAATAATATCTCGATTGGATTCGAAGATGAGAAGGATTGGCAGAGCTTTTTCAGAGTTTTTGCAAAAATACTCATTTTTCCCTATGACGTCCTATGGAAAAATCGACCTGTCCCGGCTTTCGTAAAAGATTTTCCCTATCGTAATCAAATAAAATCCTTACTATTATATACCATTCAATCGAGAATCCCACGAGCTACAAAATGATATATAAAACATAAAGAAACAAGAAGGTTACCTCACCTATCACAAAGATAATTAAAGAGAACTAGGTTAGATTTTTGTCCACAATCTAATTGATCCACAAATAGTGCTCTATCTTCTGATGACAGAGATGATACTTTGAGGTTTTCTGAAACGGAGAACTTGAAGCCTCCATTGATTGAGCACTGACCAATAGAAATTCCACATTTATTTAATGGTATAATCAGCGATAATGTTGTCTTAAAACTATGTATCTATGCAGCTCTAGATGTTCAAATGGGCGAAACTTATACAATGAAAATCGATCTTGTATATATATAGTAACTTTGGATAATAAGTTATTAAAATAATGAAAGGTAAATATGGGCAGATTTTCATATTCTCCAGTGATATCGCACTGCGTGGAAGACAAATAATGCTTTACATATAACGGAATTTTGAACTGACGCATTACTATTTCATGATTAATGACTAACTATAACGAGAGAAGCAAAATGAAAACCGGATGCAGAGCGAAATCTCATTGAATGATAGTAGCCGTCAAAGTAAGTCATCACTCAGAACAGAACACGATAGACCATTTACCATATTTGAAGAATCGATATGATATTCAAATGATGTCTCATAAGATGAAAACTTTGCAAAATATGGATCGTTTTAAGGTTCTATTTTGTGAAATGCCTGTTTTGACTGTATGCAGACAAATTTTTGTTCCAATTTATTTTCAGTCAATTTGGTTATTAAATAAAACTCACCGCATAGTCAGCTGAGTACAACGGTTGAGTTAAAAGCATATCATTTCCTCTCTGTAATCCGGTAGCTAATGCAGCACCATAATGGTTGATATTGTATGTGACTGTTTGGTTGCCTATATTGTTTACTTGGATAGTGTACGATGAGGCTTGTCTGACACTATCATTCAATGCAAGTTCACTAGGTGAAATTATCGTAGTGGCTTGGATCAGTTGAAGTGCATTCACTAGTCCAGCACCTTGTTGAGCGGTGTTCGCAAGAATAGTGTTAGAAATATTCACTGGCATTGCATTCGATTGTAATAAATTGACTATTTTTGTAAATGAAGGACGACAGTTTGGCTGACATGTACCATTCACCGTCCATGGTGGTGGATTGCCAATATGTGCAAGGTAGAGAGCTAGGGTTCTGAAAAAAAGAACAACGAATTCAAATAAATATATATTAGTGATAGACAAAGATCTTCAGTAGATTGAGAAAATAAAGGCAGTACACTTGTTTTGTTCAAATCTCTTAGTCACATTAAGTGATTGAATCGATACGGGTACGGAAGGAGTGAAAAACATTCATAACAATTTTACTAGTTAATCTTACAGAAACAGTTAGCAAAATGAAAAGAAAGACGACTACTGTAAAAATGAGCAAAAATCTATACACGTACCCAGCAACATAGGGAGTTGCCATACTTGTACCTGACTTGATAGCATAAGCATCCGAAAGATTTTGATTCTTGGCAGTGAAAGATGAGACAGTCGAATATACGTAACCACCAATGCCACTAATTTGTGGTTTGAACAGCAAGTCACCGGTAAGACCAAGTGATGAGAAAACTGAGGGAGTTCCTCCTGTTGGCTGCATATTAATAGAAAAGAAAATGCATATTTCGTCAAATCATAGAAGTTATTTGGGAAAAGTGTCCTGTATTCTTTTTTACTATATTGATTACTTTCAAAATTGCTCCAAAGTAAAGAAACTATAACTTGATATGAATCATTAAGCTAATATAAATTTGTCTCATTGTTCATTTGGTCTAGATACTCTCATTTTAAAAGGTTACAGCCCTTGAATATCTGAACCAATAATTTATATGAGTGGTGAATGTAAACATCGGCTTTGTTCATAATGAAACCGTACATTAATCTCCGCATCAATTTACTTTGATAATACAGACTCAATTGATGGTTTTATTCTCCATTGATAGTATATCTTATACTAAAATTTTCGAATAAGGCATTCTACATTTATAATATATCTTCGATTAGTTGTTCAATCGAACTCGAAATATCAAAATTCGTATATGGCCTAAATGAATTACTGATAAGATACATTAGTTCAAATATAAAACAATTAGGTAGACTAAGACCTTTTGAGAAATAAATATTTTAACAATCATATTATCTGAGGAAAAGCTCTACAATTAGTGGAAACAGCTCTAGTCTCATAGACGACTGACATATCCTATAGTTCTTTTGTAAGAAAAAACTGGATGGACTCTTTGAGAGAAGGACTTAACAGAAATATTCAAATCTGAGCTGAACAAATCTTAAAAGTGATAGAACCCATTTGATTTCACTTAGAAAACAGCAAGATTTTCTACAGTTAAATACGAAATAGATGTTCTTTATAAAACTAGACCTTGGAATTGCGTTGACTCACAATTGGAGCAAGTCCTAATAAATTTGTAAACGTAAATATCGATGATTCGTTTTTCTGTACAATTTCAATAATTTTCAAACCATCGCTCATACTAATGCTTCCACTTGGAATACTCGACGAACCTGAAATGTGAGTTCAATTTGAGGATAAATGGCGGTTTACTGACATACCTGTAATACTTCCTACATTGTATATTAGACAACCTGTTGCTCCAGCTTTTGCCGCTCTATCACATCGATCAGCAGAACTACAACTATCTGTATTAATAAAAGAAAACAATACAACAGCGCCAGTCAGATTCTTCAATGAATTCGAACAGCCATCATTTGTCATGTCTTATAGATAAAATTGATTTCGAAATACATACATAATCAATAGTCAATTGAGAAAACACTTACTATTCACCACAATCATCGATTGTACAATTGATTTCCATCCACCAAAAGCAGATCCAGGTAAGTAGAAAATTTTTTCCTCATTAGAAGTGATTAAGTAGAGCGAGGGAGCACGTGGGTTATCTAATGAAGCCACTGCAATAGCACCTGAAGAAATAGATGGACTTCCGCCTGTTTGAAGACCTTGTCTTCCAGCGTTACCAAAAGAAAATGTAACATATACTAATGAAAGCGTTGAATAGTCTGAAAAATTTCCAAATATAAGAGAGTGAAATTACCTCCTTGTTCAGATACACGCCGAGCAGCTTCGACATCTGAACTGTCCCTATAAGCACCACGACCACCAACAGACATAGTAACTAAATATACATATTTTCATCGGATTAAAACAGTTTTATAGTTAGACAAAATCATAGTTCTAGATAAAATGATAAAGCAAAAGAAAGCATTTATTATACTCAACTAGGGTTTTCTTTTTATTAATTAGAACTTTCAAATATTTATGAATCAATAGGTAGCATAGAATATCAGAATTTAATTTTCATGTTTAATATTATTGATTTTATTAAATCAGAAACAATAAGTATAGGAACTTACTTATGTCGGCTCCGTCGTCGAAAGCACGATAAATAGCTGCTGTCATAACATCTGTATAATTTCATTAATAAAGAATGTTACACATATCGATATTATATTAGAAACATAGTTTATGTTGCACATACCTGTAGTTGTAGTATCTGCTATGCAACCAAAGATACGATCTACGAAAATCAAAACTTTTCTATCATACAAATAATTGATGTAAGGTTTAAGTATTTTAGGATTTTAGATAATTTTTTATTATCCATTCATTTTAATTCAGTATTCATCGATGAGATTTTTTCTTTTTCATAAGCAACCCATTTTATCACATCTATGGTTTAAGAACGAGCAGAGAACGATTGTTATAATCTCTGATAGGTCAAAAGTTATGTCTGACACGATCGATGTGGGGAGAGGAGGATGTACAAATTTCTACCCTGAACACATCAACACTCCTTTCAAATCGTATTCCTCAAAGAATAGATGAAGATTACTAGTGAGTGTAATTTCTCTTGCATAGTATCTTTATCTCCAATGAAATGAATCCTGTAACTAACTAAAAATTGATTAGTGTTTTGATAATTTAACAACTTACATGCTCCGATAATAGCTTGAGGAGCAACACCAACAAATGATTGGAAGGGAACGAAGCCTGTCACATTAATTCCTGTTGCATTGGCAGCAACAATTCCAGCAACATGAGTGCCTAATATTTAATATAAAAATAATACAAAAACTATTTGAAACAAAAATATAAGCTGAAAGTTGATAAATACCATGTGCGCTATCCGAACAATTATCGATTGGATCCTTGTCCTCAACTTGTGTACGGTTTAGTGAATTGAAGTTATCGCCGACTAAATCTAGAAAAAAAACAGATTTGCCGTCTTTTTTGTTTAATTCACAATGACTAAAAATCACAACTGACCATAACCAAATGCTACTTTACATCCTGGTCCAAAGCATCCTCCAAGAGCGGGATGATTATAGTCAACACCAGTGTCAATTACAGCCACCTATGTAAAGAAGAAAAGGGATAAGCAGTTGAGATTTATTTAATTGATTTGTTTTCTTCCATGTATATAGTGATTACTCGAAGACTCAGAGGTCGAGCATAAAACTCCAAAAGTATATATTAATAGATGTTTTATTTGATTCGTTTAAAAGAATCATCTAATTTTTTAATACTATTTATTCTTTCTATCAAGAAAAAAGAGACATAGCTCATGTTTTTGTTTTTTTTACTCGAACACCATTTCCAAAATTTTTCAATTGTTCATGAATTTTATCGACGCCGGTCAAATCATGTGCAATAACTGGAGCAGTTGGATTATTTTCTCTACTTTTAAATTGAATGTATTTCGTCAATGGTTTTGGGCCGGGAACTGAGTAAACCGGATAAACGGCAATTGTACCTGGAATTGACTTGATCATTTCCATAGAATGTCTACCATTTATGGAAAATGACGCTCCATGAAAGAGAGAGGAAGAAATTGTTTGACGCATTGTGATGGCCGATCGAGGAAGTCCATAAGACTTTTGAAGAAACTCAACGATAGTTTGTTGAATGTTTCTGACATTCATACTTCGATCGAATTCAACCAGATAAGTATCTGGAATTAACACATTATTGTGTGTGTCTGAAAATTCCAGATTTTCGTCAAACATATTCTCTTCATGGTCAACTATCAAATGAATGTGTACAAAAGATAGAAAGAAATCAATTTACTTGAAACGTAACATACAAGCAGTATTAATAAATTGTTTGGAATGTATTGTTGATACCATGATACACATTAGAATAAGTGCTTCAGACATAGCTATCTTCATCATTTATTTTTAAACTTTGAGCAAGAATTAGAAATGTTGATAACCAAGAGCTAATTACGTCAAATATCTATAATAATATTTTATTATCGATATACAACTAGTATGATCTTTGATAATGTTCTTTTTTTCAATTCAGAAACTCATATACTATCTGACAACTAAAAATTTAGTTCCTATTATCATTAGTGAACCACAGATAGTGTGCAACTTTGTTTCATACTATTTCATTATTCAAACAAGGCATAAGTAAGAGCAAGAATAAACATGTCGATGAGGACAAAAGAAGACTAATTTGTGAATATACTAAAGTAGCATCGTAACGAATAGTAAATCGTTAATAAGTAAATATATTGTAGTGGTCTCACGATCAACAGGTCTTCAATACATGAATAGAACAACATACCTAATTGACAACAGACTTATATAATAGTGAAATAACGAATGATTACTGTCTCAGTTTTTATTTGCTGTTGTTTCTTAACTGCCGCTTGTAAAAATGTCGAATTGAATTATTTATCTCGTATTTTATTATACAATGTATCTGAAAAATAACATTCTAGTTTAAATTCTTTATTAGTCTCAAACAACAAACGACGCTGTTTTGATTTTTTGACCATTGTCAAGTATCGACTATGGTATTTTGTTCTCGACAAAACGAAATTAACTTTCTAAGATCTAATCCAAATTTTGTCTTGATAACATCTGGAAAAAAATCAGTATTTTTAATAGTTTATTATTTCTGTAGTAGAATCAGGATGTGAGTGTGTGTTTGTGAACAATTAAAAAATGTTCATCCAAAGCTACACACTTACGTTCTACTTTTAGTACAAGAATAATAAATTATTATAAATACTGAGTTTTTTCCAGATGTTGTCCAGACAAAATATGAGCTTGTTCTTAGAGAACAAAATGATCAATCGATTTGTTTCATCGAGAATAAAATATCATAGTCAATACTTCATAATGGTGAAAAACTCCAAACAACATCGTTTGTTGTTTGACAGTAATAAAGAATTTTGAAATAAGGAGTTATCTTTCAAACACTCTCTACTAATCCTTATATTAGTAGTATGTGATGATCATAGATCTTATACAGAACAATCAAAACAGCCATTAGCAAAACAACAGTAGGATAAGTGTCCATATTCAATACATTAAAAGTCATATTAAGATGATGAAAGCGAAAAGAAAAACCCTATGAGAATTAACATGATCAGCATAGAATTAAATATTATTGATATTGTCATCACTTATCAGTTTTATTATATTACTACTGAAATTTAACTTATCAGTAAAGAAACGACTTGTATACATGATTTACGACTATAGCAATTACTGCCACTATAATTTTATTTGCTTGCTTCAAGTCTTGGATAGATTTATTTTTTGATGTATTTCATACGAAAGCTAGGGTGTGTGGTGTGGGTGTGGGTGATGGATGTGGGTGTACGATGTGTGATAACAAGACATATACCCACACCCACACCCTCAAGATGTTCCAATGATTGTTATTTGTGGTTTACCTCGTACTGGTACAACATTATTATATAATCTAATGGCTTGTGATCCATTATGTCGAGCTTCTCTTGCAACTGATATGACAATGCAACCTATTTTATGATCAAATATTGATGAACACAAACTGAAGCAGCTATTGAAGCAAAAATATTCGAAATTGCTCAATATAATATTCAAAAATTTCGAAAAACTTATTCTTCGTCCCATGCTTTATTTCCTAATGAAGAAGATACACTTTTGCACAGTGACGTTGAACTCAAATTTATATATGTTTTTCTTGCGCCTAAAAAAACAAATCTATTAATATGGATAATGAACCAACACAATAAAGATTTTGCATTTAAATATCATCAGACTGTACTACAAATATTACATGATGTTGATCCACCTACTACACATTGGCAACTAAAAACGCCACAGTACCTTGTATGGATTGATACATTTCTTAAATATTATCCTCAGGCATCAATTATCATGCCTCATCGTCGCTTTAACGAAGTTATACCTTGATTATGTAGTCTTTGAGTTTCGAGTTTAACTCCTTATATTAATGAAGACAACATAAATGATTTGAAAATAATATTAGGAGAAATATTCCCAACATGATATCTTTCTAAATCGTATGATGAAATTTTGTAGTCGAAAATCATATTCGAAAACTATTTCTAATACTCAATATGAAGATTTAACAAAAGATCCAATTGGTACTGTACATCGTATTTATGATCATTTTGATTTTTTTAAATGGTCTGACAAATTTGAAAACGCAATGCGTGCATGGTTAACTGATAATCCTCAAGGAAAACAAGGGCGACATTCATATTCATTAAACGAATTTATTTTAGAAACACAAATGGATAAACAACTTTATAAAGATTATGAAAAAATTTTTCTTTCATAATAAATTATTTTTTTTCAACAATCTATTAGAATAAGGATGTGAATCGTCATGTCATTTCACTCACGCCATCTGATAGGCACTGCAGCGAGTTGAGTTGAGATTGTTATATGTATAGAAATTTAAAATAGAGTGCTGGGATTATCAAATCCCAATGCATCAAATTAACATGATATTTTTGACTAATCGAACGATTTCGACTGAGAAGATCAAAATAAAAAGAATTTTTCGATAAATATTTACGCCATTAGTCGTCAAAAACTGTCGAATAAATGCGAAGGAGAAGGTTAGAACCTGATAACGTGAGATAAAAAGTCATCGAAAATTTGAACTGAATATAAACAGTTTTTCTTCAATGAATGCTATCTTTTCAATCCTCGAATTGATACAACTTAGAGATATGATCTTTTGAAAATTTATTTTTGTTTTTTGGTTTATAATAGTTTATTATGCAACACTCAGAAGTGCTTGCATAAATGTAAATCTATGAAATATATTCTTTTTATTTAAACGTTGAACCTTGATGAATTAAAGTTGGATTCAAATTATTCAGATTCATTTTTTGAATTTGATGAATTTATCCTCTCTATTACTACTTGCGAGTGGTGATAAGAGTGTTGTTATTTTCAGCAATCACAGTTACATTCAGGTCGAAATGAAAATTATCATATCGTTATAGACTTTTAATCGGTATAATATTATAGATGAATAAGCGAGAAAATCTTGTATTGTTCAAATGATGTGTCTTTGTTTTATATAAAGTTCTGTTTTGTCTTCGTATCGTGTAACAAACATAGCGTAAGAAAATCGGACACTGTTAGTGATTTGTCATTATCGGTATATCATTTGACTTAGGTGGTATGGTCGTTAGAGTAATTGAGTGACGTCTTTGTTGTAGACGAAGATGAGCTCTACTACGACAAGCAAATATTCGGTGGAATATATCCATTAATTGACTTCGAAATGCTCTTGAAGCAAATATATGAGTATAAAATGTTATGGCTGGATGAATGTACGCGTTAACTTCAGTCAAAAATTGTATAAATAATTCAATAGCAACACGATCTGGTGACTTATTAGTTATTGACAAGGTAAATGTCAAATAAATGTTAAAAGAAACAAGAGATAAAGTCACAACCAAATATAAAATAACTTGCAATAATAATACAATTAATATATGTATGTCAAGTGTTTCTAATTTGTTTTGCCTTTCATTGATGTTATTCATTTCTCTTCATTTTTTTCTTGATAAAAGTCTTTTCTATATGAATCCTGTACATATTAACATTATCAAAGATGGTACTACTACACCTATAATAAGTGAAGAAACAGTTTGATAAATTGCTTGTCCATATGTTTTCATTCTGCAAACAACATAACCAGGTGTCTTAACGTCTGTAAAGAAGAGTAAATGAATAGGAAGTATAAAGCAAATTATACACAATAGTAAAATGAACTTTTTAGCAGTACGAACATTGGAAAAAGAACGAAGATAAATACTAGTTGAAGTTAAGAAACAACGATCAACACAAGCACTTGTTAAAAATCATCGATATAACATTGCACCTGTTTGATTTACATAAAATCGAGTTTTGCAAAAATTTTTTATTGAAGATTGGAGCTGGAGTATGATCAAGAGCATAAAATTGAGGTATCATGCCAATTAAAAATAAGATCAAAGCAACTATAAATGTTGCCAAAAAGTCTACAAAATAATTCTATTCCATACACCTAAAAAATACAACATGAATTCGTTCGTAGTTTTTGTTGAGAGAACAGTAAAATACCAAGAAGAGATTCCATAATGCCAAGTTCAAATAAGGTAGATTCAATGTATTTCACAAGAATTGTTCGTTCAGTCTCTAATGAGACACGTAACGATGATGCCATCTTTGGGGTGGATGTGGGTGTGGGTGTGGGGTGTGAGTGTGGGGTGTGGGTGTGTGGTGTGGGTGGGTGTGGGTGGGTGGGTGTGGGTGTGGGTCTCCCCTTCATGGACACCCACAGCCACACCCCACATCCCACACCCACACCCACACCCCACACCCACACCAACACCCACCCACATCCAGACCCACACCCACAGCCACACCCATATCCACATCCACACCCACACCCCCACCACACACCCCCACACTCACACCCACACACCCACACACCCACACCTACACCCACACCCACCGACACCCTCACCCACACCCCACACACACCCACACCCACACCCACACACCCACACCAATCGAAAGAGGAGACAGGGAGACGTCTTTTTCTCCAATATTGTATAAGATGAAATCATTATAAAATCAGTCATTTCTCCAAAACATTACAAAAAGTGCACAAAAACGGTCTATCAGTCCGAGGAAATTTCGACGAAAAGTAAGAAAATTTGCTT